ATCCATATGGAAACAGGATACATCTGTGAAAAGAAGGAAAAAAAGAAGCTTCCTCTTGAAACAGGAAAAAGCTATAAAACAGGCTGTCCCAGGGCTGGTTTGGACGATGAAGATACTTTAGTTTGGATGTGGAAGCTCCAAGTTCAAATCCTTGCCAAGGCAATTCAGTTCAGTTCAATACCTAGTATTTTTCACAGATTGTGAGAAGCTATAATGTAGTTTGATTTGTTTTGGCTTAGCACAATCTGCAAAACCAGCCAATTGGTATTCAACAAATTATCATTAAGCTAACCCTGACTTTAAATACTGGCATTATTTTGTGTCCTTTCATATGCAATTTCAGGTTTCAAAGTAGTTTAGTGGTCTTTTAAAATGATACTTTTCAAATTAACTAGTATTTTATCATGACAAAAACAATAGTCCAGCAGAAAAAAAATAGTTCAGTATCCATACAACTTCACATGCTGACAAAGAAAACATAAGGTTATGTGCTCACAAAAAGAAAAACATAAGGGTTATGTGCTCACAAATTTAACAACTTTCAGTGAGACCAGAAAGCAAGTTTAAATCTGCAGCCAGATATTTACAAAATAATTGTTTATTTTAGGAGGTGAGGTTGCACAAAAGGTAAAGTAGGGTGTGTACATATGTACAGAGACTCTATTATATCCAGTGGCTGACATCTGTCAGCCAGTGTGAGAGCAGGAAGACATGACTTGATTTTTATTTTGGCAAAATAGTCAAGAACAACAGTGTCAAATTTATTATTTTTAATTACTTGAATAACCAGCTTTCTCAAAATGTTCCTAATTAGGAAGCTAAGAATAATAACATAGAGACTAAAAACAGAATTGTAATTAAACTAAACACAATTAAATATCATCAATAATTGCCAGGAAGATCTAAAGCTCCCTGACATAGAGTAGATTACTTCTGAAAACTCTGAGGCAAAGATCCCTTAAGAGGTGACTCCAGAGAAGTACTCCTTCTCCAAGACTGAACTGTCATGGAAGCCACTGCTGAACCCCATGGGACACAGGTTACAGAGGGTAATGACCCAACCAATGGGGAGAGGAGTGACGGAAAGAAACCAAACTTCTTATGAGTAAAAGTCTACATATAAGTAACATCCTGCTCACGGGCAAAAATATAGATCTGTTGAGGTTCATTAACAAGCTACCTGTTCCTAGCTGGATCTGAATCTTGGATTTGGTTTGGATTTTGTTCCTGTTAACTAGGGAAAGTTTTAGCCTAAGACAGACAATAAGGATATATATATATATACACACACACATACATACACACACACATACACACACATATCATACATACATACAAACACACACATATATACATACACACGCATATACATACATACACACATATGCATACATACACACACACAAACACAGAGTATATAATCTTCTTTAGCAAACAAACTAGCTTAAATTCTAAAAAGCCTGTTTAAACCAAACATCAACTCTCCTGCACTGATAGATATGAAGGAAGTGCCTTTCTTTACAATTAAATTTCAGACAATGTAACCCGGTTCTGTATCAGAGCTATGATCAAATGTAAACAACTCCTCCAAGTGAGGTGATGCTGAGTCTTATCTAGGTTCCCATAACTCAATATATTCTATCTCTCCCCCCTTTTTTCCTCCCCCCTTTTTAATTTAAAATAAAAAATACCATTCTGTGTTTTACTTTGCTATTTCTTTGCTGTAGTTGGGTGGATCATAACTGTCATAATCCCACAAACCCTAGTAGAGCTTTAGCAAGTATTAGGCTCAATATTAGTTAACATAGCTTTACATTCTCGTAGCATTCTATAAATCCTAGTACTTATGTCTTTTTACTATATACTTATCTATCTTAGTTATATATAGCATTTAGTAAAATTGATTGTAATTTTATAGGTCTCTCCTAGGTTTTAAACCCTGCACTTTGTAATTTTATGTCAATAATTTTATTTTTACTTTATTCTATTGATATGATTTTTTAATTTCTATTTTAGAGTGACTGTTACGTTATTAGTTTTATGGTCTACAATGGAAATAAAATAAATAATTAAATGAAATAAACTGAAATGTTAATTAGAGTGTGTGGTTTATAAGTCCAGTGCTGTATCTTAATACAGATCTTTTGGTGACTGGCTCAAACAAAAATCTGCTAGGAGTGCCCTTCAAGTATGTAAATATAGGTGTTCTACTTTCTTTCTACCCACTTTTCCTCATGGCATTCTTCCCCAGCACTTTCCACACTTGTTCACTTCAAAATCAGTCATTTTTGAAAGTCAACAAAAGTAATCATGACTCCTATTCCAGGGCCATGCTAAAACTTTGAAACTGAAATTTACAATTCTATATTTACTAACCTGAGAGTAAGCTTAATTGAACTCAATAGTCTGTTCTTTTGGCTGGACTTGTCTACACAATTATTTTTTACCTTTTACCACTTTGAAGTACATAATACAAATAATATATTAGCAGGAGTAAATAACAAACTAAACCTTTCTATTCTTATTTTATTTATATTCCACCTCTCATGTTGCTCAAGGAGGCACATACTGTACTCTCAGTCCTGTGAGGTGGATTGGACTGAGATAATGTGACTCTCCCAAAGAGATGAAATTCACTTCCATGGCTGAGAGTGAACTAAAACCTGAATCTCCCCATTCCTAGCCTAACATTTTCAGTGCTCCACCACACTGACTCTAACGTTACATTATTAATTTCGATTTTTCTGTTGTCTTGCCTCTCAGCAATTTGTCCAAACTCCAGTACAGTACAGATTTTACAAACTAATAACAGGACAAAGAATTATGAGGGCTTTAGGATCTCTTATTGGGTTTAAATTATGGCCTTATATAATTTATTTTCCTTTTCTCTTTTTACATTTTTCCTAATATTACAAGTTCTGCCTAGTATATATTTGACTATACATATGTATTCATTAGTCACTCTATAGCTATCACAAAGTCCTTTCAGAAGAAAAGTATTCAATGTATTCAGCTACAAGCAAATATTTCCCAACTATACTATTAATCAAAATAGATTTGACAGCAGTTGTGGAAACTGCTTTAATTTCCCCCATCTACTGCCCAAGGTAAAAATACATGGACCTTTGTAAAAGGCACAGGAGAAGCTAAATGATTCTAGAAAACACAACCTGTTCTATGAGACTGCAAGCATTACCTACCACTTTTGCAACTGTTTTTAAGCATAGCCAAACCTGATTTTCAAAAAAAAAAAAAAAAAAGGGAAAAAGTGACATAGCATCACACGCATAGGAGAAGGCAAAAAAAAAAAAATAATTTTGGTGTCTCATCAGCGAGTTTCCTTAAGGAAAGGATACTCTTTTGTTGCTGTTGTGTTGTTTTGTTTATTGGTAGGTTACTGTTTAAATACCTCCCATAAATTTAAGACAGAAGTACTCCAGTACAAAGAAATTGAAATTGACAATCCTAATAACACAATCTCTGTGCATTACTTCACTATAACTGCTTCTCACAATGGTAACTAAAGCATTTGTAGACTGTAGAGAACTAGTTGTTGTATTCTGAACACAAGAATACCACAAAGTAGATCAATACATTTTAGATTCGCATTTCAAATTTCCCAAAGACCATAGAACCACCTGGGTTGTTTTTTTTTTTTTTAATGGCCGGTTCTCATCCTTCAAATACAAAGGGAAGGCATTTGCCAGTAAGCAGCGCTTTAGACCGTTCAGCCTACAGTAGAGCGCGTGGGATGTTTCTGAAGTTGTAACAGCTGTTGCACTTGCCACTACTCAGTAACTCTACTAGACTCTGCCTATAGGCTACTAGTTATTACCTGAGAATTTTTTTCCCTGACAATACATCTGAATCTATGCACCTTACAACATTTTTAGTGCAAGCACCAAAGGGAGAAGGCTCTTATCAGCCAGAGGCTCTGAACAATTTTTATTCTCCAATCTTTCCAGAAAAAAAAAAGTGATAGAAAGGATTAGATTGTTAAGGATAAATACTGGAGCTCAAGAACAGCCTTATGAGGTAGATTGGGCTGAGGTACAGCAATTGGCCTAAATTCAGCCAGCAAGTTTCTCTGGCTGAGGGGACTTGAACCTGGGTTTTCCCATTCCTAGACGATTTTAATCACTTTACCACTCTCTGCCAGATCCAGCATAGTGTAACAGCTCAACAACATAGATGAATAGATAAAATAGATGCCATCAACATACTGTAGTTCCATGATTCAGAGAGTGGTAAAGCCTTGAGCTTCAGTCCTACACATGCTATGATTATTATTCTGGTGAATATTGTAACCGGCGGAGGCCTCTATCAAGTCGAACTGCACAGCATTACTGCAAGGCAACCTTCCGGATTTTTTCGCAGCTGTTTTCCTTGCATCCTATTCTCAATCCCCATGTCAGTCCACTCCCACTTTTCCCTCCGGTTCTGCTGGTCAGTCCTCCTGCTACGGTCAGGTGGATACTGTTCTTAGGCCTAAATCCTGAAAGCTCTGAATACAAGCCAGCTCGCCTACGATCTGAACTTCAGGAAAGCCAGAACGGATGGATGGCTACACCGACTTGCGGGGGTGCCATGTGAGGCAGGCAGCAGACTGGAAGCCTGTGGAGTCGCGATGCTGCAGGCAAAGGGTTTGCAGCCCAGCAGTGTCTGTGGGTGCCCATGCCCGGTCAAATAGCCACCTCTCCGGAACCGCAGAAGGAAGGTTGCTGAACCATCGCCAGCTCTTCTCCAATCGAACTGCTGCGTGTCCCGAGCCCAAAGCCCCAGGACGGCGGGGAAAGGCATCTTGTTGCAACCCCAGCCGAAAGTGTCTTCAGGGAATGGCTCCGCCGACGCCACCCCACGGCTTGCCTCTGAGAAAATGCCCCGGCCCACCAACCCTCCGCCGAAAGCCCCCTCGAAAGGCCTTTCCCCGTCGCCACCTGCCCCAGGCGCCTCGGATGTAAAGCAGCGAGACGGGTCCGGCTGCTTTGCAAACCGCTCACCTGAGTCTTGGTGGTGAGCTGGATCACCGCCTTCCTGAAGTTGAGCTTGGAGTCGGCGTTACCCATCCTCCCGCACCAGGATCCGGGTCCGCTTCCTTGCTCTCGCCCGCCCGCGGTCGCTCCCTGCGGCGGTGGCCGTGCCCTCGCCCTCCTCCTCCTCTGCCGCCGCCCGTCCCGCTAATCTCCCTCGTCCTCGCCTCCTCTGCCGGACG